CGCTCCCTGCCCGGGAGATATTTTTCGATTTTCTTTTTTCTCCTTTTTTGTATGGTGACACATAGGATATTTTCTGGTCAGTGCCCTCCAGCGCTGTAGTATCTTGTCCAGTGCTGAGTTACTGAGCGTTAAACGTGTTCTGTGCTCTACAGATCCCGTCTCCAAGGACCTGCCAACCTAATGGAGCCAGCGAAGAAGCCCTGCGGTGTGAAATTGAAGAGCTGAAACAGAAAGACCTTGCCCTGGACCAGGAAATTGCACAATTATTGTCTGAGTATGTCCTTGGCAAGTTCAGTGTTCCATGTCATGCCTCAGTTATTTTTGGTTTTGAAACAAAATGTGGTCTAGGAATTAGATCTAAAAGCTGCCCCCTTATGATGCCTTTTTTATCATGGTGCTGTACAATGTTGATCAGAGTGTTGTTTTGAGCTGTGGGACCTGTTAAAGACAAGAGGGAATTCTTTCCAGTTTATTTGGTAAAGCTAAACAAGTTTTACTAGGAGCTTGGACAAGGGGATTTTAACTTTACTCCAGATGTTGCTGAGGTAATTAGGTGTAAACTGGGAATGAATAACTTTAACCATCAGGATCCTGCAACACCTCATGCTACCAGAAGAGCTTGTTCATGTGAGAATAGAGATCGTGACTTGTATGACCTGCCAAATTCAGTCCCAGATAAAACTTTCCTTTTTTGTTCTATCTTGATCAAGTGTTCCCTTGCTTTGTGTCTGAGGTGAGTAGGTTAAACCTTTGTGTTCTAGAAGTGGAGATATTTTACAGGCAGGCGAGTGGCCCATAGAGCACTTTGGCAGGAAGGATGCCACATACAGGGCAGTGCAGCTGTTTGATTGTGGTTTCTTATGACACATGTGGCAGCTGCTTATTAGCAACTGTTCTGAAATAAAATTGCTGTTTGATTTTTAAAGAGAAGGCATCTCTGTGGGTTATTCGTTGTGAGGAAGTGTTATTTTCTAAGATAATGTGTAGTGCGCAGAACAACAAAGGCTGTTCCAAAGCTTTTTTTTTTATCTTCAAGGATAGACAGACCTTTTAATTTTTTTTTTCCCTAGCTACGGATTAGAGATACATATAAATTGAATTCACCGCAGCCTATTCCTTTTTCTACTTGATTCTGAGAATTTGGGTGGATTGGGTTTTTTTATAAGTCTTCATGTGGCAAAAAAAAAAAAAAAAATTAAAATGAAGATCTGTTCATTTGTAGCTTTCATGTTGATGACTCACAGCAACTTTACTTGCTACCTTCAGATTCTGCTCTTGACCTGCCAGGCTTGGGTATCACAAATGTCCTTGCTGTGCTTGGTAGTGGCAGTGCTCGCTGTGCAGCAGCAGCAACCCCTCTGTGTCGTTTTTGACCTTTCTGGTTTTATTGGTCCAGAGGCTACAACCTGGAGGAACTGGAGAAGCACATCTCTCTGCTCCATGAGTATAACGATATTAAAGATGCTGGACAGATGCTGCTGGGCAAGCTGGGTAAGGAAGGGGAAAACTGTTGAAGAACTTGTTAGGCAATGTTTTCATATAGGCAGAGAGAGAGAAGCTCCTGTGCCATGAAGGCAGAGCTTGTTCTAAAGATTTTTCAGTTCTAGGCTTATATTACCCAACCACTTCTGCAACCACAAACACTTCTGTCGTTATTTTCTTGGGATGTTTTTAGAACTGAACATGTGAAATAATTGTCACTTACTGGTATTTTAGTCTGTGTTATGCATTACCAAAATTTGATACGCCTTAATAATTTTTGTCAGTTTTGTTCTTCATATGCTTAAAAAAAACCGTTGAGACAAGCGGGCAGCATAGCTGCAATACGTAGGAAGCTGTGGGAAGTTCTGTGGGATAGTTAGAGGCTACTGGGAGGAAAACACAACTTTTCTGACTCATCTGAGCTTTGTTTAATGAAAGCAATGGTATTTATTTCTTTTCTAGCTGTTATCCGAGGGGTTACTACAAAGCAGCTCTACCCTGAATACGATCTGGAGCTTAGCGACTAGTATTGAACCTGACGGCTGCCACGTCCTGCAAAATGACTGTTACTGGGCCATTGTGTTCTGGTGTCGTGTTGGTTTAGAGCTGACATAAGGTGGCCTCAGAAGTACACACATAGAATTGCAACAGAGCATGGGTTAACAGCCTTATTTCTACGAAGCTTTGGAACATGAGAGTTGTTCAGTCTGTCAACTGTTTCCTGCTTGTGGGAAAATGATGTAGGACTTTGCATTATTTTGTCTATTACCTGCTCAACAGTATTTTTTTTTTTTAATGGAAAGGTTATAGTTCAGGTTGATGTTAAGAGTCTTCCCGTGGAGCCTTTGCTTCCCTACAACATCCAGGGGCTATTTGGATACTGAATGGATGGAGGAAGTGAGGGCATATAAATGTGCAATGTAATAGCTGCTTTGAAAGAAAAGAAAAAACCTTCAGAAGCAGGGAGGGAAGAAGGCTGAAGTTGTGGGGGCTTGGGGGTTTTGTTTTGCTTTATGATCAAATCTGGGTAAGTCTGGATGTTCTGTGTTTTTGTACTTAACTGCTCTGGTATCTAGAGGTTTTGTATCATTTCTGTAATAAATGGCAAAATGTGAAGTTGTGTTGAACTGTCGGAATAAAGCAGCTATCACATTTCTCACTAATTCACTCTAAGAGCCTGTAAAACATTGTGTGAACCCAGGAACAAATTCTTAAAACTATATTCTGAGACAGCTGTGGCATCTATTATTCAAATGTTTTCTGGGAACTCTTAATAGGCAGTGAGGCAGCAGTGCCCAGTAATGGGCAGGTGCAGAATTACCTTTACTCTCCTCTAAATGCAGAGTCACGGTGGAAGCGAGCGGTGTCCTAAACACAAATTACAGTGAGAGCGTGAGTGTTTCAGCGTCAGGTGTTAGGATTGAGGGTGACTGCACAGACTAAATTTGGCTGCTTTGGGCAGTTCTGCTGACTGTGGATCCATTGTCCCTTTTTCACTGAAGCTTGATGTCCTTCTGCCTGTTTCTGCTTCGAACGCTGCCTTCTTGCCAGGAAGTTTCCCCCCCAGTCTCCAGTGAGACCCATGCTGCAGTCTGCTCATTATTTCCAAATTTGAATCAAATGAATCTGTCTTCATAGTGCTTGGAAACCAGAAAACGGTCACAAGGCTGCTGCTGAGAACAGATAATTCTTTCTGCTCTCTCGGTTCTGGACATGGTACGGAAGCATCGCTGTCTTGTTTTGCCACAAAAGCTGTGGGGAGGGGTCTAAAGCAGGGGGACAGGCAAAGCCTGTGTGTCCTGTGATTCACTCGAGCGTGTCTCTGCTGATGTGCGGCTGTGCTTCTCTGGAGAGTATTTACTGTGCCTGTGTAAGAATGGGCTCTAGGGGTATGGTTACAGGTATATCCCCCCCGCCATCAACCCCTCTTGCCAAGTGTGGAAAACTCTTGGGTTTTGGAGTAGTTTTAAGGGGAGGAAAAAAGTCCCAAGAAGGCTAGAACTGGGAAATGCTGACTTTGTTCTCAAAATCCACGTTGCTGTTCTGGCTGGTATTTTCTGTGATGAAGAACTGGTTTAGCCTGGAGCACTCCAACCAAAATGTTAACTCTGGCAACGGCCCAAGCAACTGGAAATGTTTTTTGCAATGGGAAGCACGTACAGAAATTCCTTTAGGTGTAAGGCACGGGGGATGAAGTATACGCCGTTACCGAAGCTACTGCAGGTTATTTAAGGACTGAGAAGTCCACATTTTCTTCCCCTCCTTGTAGGAGCGCTGGGATTAAACGTTGCAGCTGTAGCTGTGCAAGTGTTCTGCCCGGCTCCAGAACTCGTGCTCGCCTGGTGATGGGTTTGCTCTTCAGTTGGCACAAGGCCACTGTCTGTGGAAGGTGTCCTGACCCCAGTCCCTTGTCCCCGGAGGCTGAACGCACTCGGACCCAAGCAGGTCAGGTAAGAGCAAACTGTCCCCGGAGTCCCTGCGGCTCTGCAGCTGGCTCGGTGACGTGCCACACGGTGGCAGCTGTGCTCTGCTGTTCTGCTCCGTGCAGCGCAGGGAAACCCAGAACTGACAGCTTCCAGGGTCTAGGGTAGGGACTCCTGAGGTGCGACAGGACAGGACTGATTCTACCACTTAGGGACTTCACCATCACCCCTCATACTGCTCCCCGCAGTGTCCCTTCTTGTTCCTGTATGGCTGTCATCTCGAGGATGAAACACTCTGGCCTTTGTCCAAATCCAGAAGAGAAACAGAACAAATCTCTTCTCTTTCTGTAAGTAAATCTCCCAACTCACTAGCTAAGTCTCTAGCTGGAAAAACAGAGTGCAATAATGGTAAGTGTAACTTCAGATTTTTTTATTTAAATTTAGAAAGTGCATTTCTGCTAAGTCAGACCCAGCTGCGATGAGCTAACAGAGAACAAATGGTACTGCAGAGCTTACGGAGTCTCACTGAAGGGCAGCACATACTGTCTGCATGCTGCTGCTGCAGAGCACGATACCACAGACCCCTCCAGACCCTTAGTTCCTCAGGAAAAAAAAAAAAAAGCAGCAGGCTTATTTTTAATGAGATGGTGTACTCGTGGATGAGTACTGAGCCAAGAACCAGTCTCTTCCCCTTTAGGTCACTTTCAGTTTTATTTCTGATGTCTCTTGCACATCAATCCCTGTTACAAGCCACTTCCCTCACCACACGCCTCCCCTGGATAGAACCATTTCCCTGCATTGCTCTGTGTAAGCTCAGCTTCCTCCTGCACATCCCTCTTCTGGTCTGATTTTGAGCTCTTATGCGTCTGAAAGCAGGACTAATGGAAGGAAAATACTCCAGGACAACAGAGGGAAAATAAAATCCATATAGGTGATAAGTTACGCTGCCATTAGCAAGGAACAAATCTGTGCAATGAAGGGAATACAGCTCTGTAAGAGACTGTTTCCTGCTGCTAAACAATTTGGGGATGGGTTTTTCTTTCCCTTAGCAACCTAATGCTCCCGAAGTCCAACAGGAATTTTGGCACAGCTAACTCCTGTTAATGAACTGTTTGTGATGCCTTCAAAAAAATATACAGCCTGTCACTGAAAGAAAAAGGCCTCTCTGATGAAAGTCATCTCAAGGAAAGGGTGGAAGTGAACTGCAATTAACCTCTTTCCTTCTGCTGTCCATCATGCTGTCAGCGTGGAGCTGCGTTACTGTGCTACGGAGGGAACGTCCGCAAGCACACTCAGCTGTCTGCAGCGTTCGCCATCTCCGCGTCCATCTTATGAAGAAGATCCTGATGGCCTATTGTTTTCTCTATCTCTGTTTTCACTCTCAGCTGACAGTCCCCAATTGCATTCTGTATGCTCTGCAGGTTCCACTGGGTTCTCGGGAGAGCATCATCCAGCGTGAAAACACCATCGCGTATTCTTCGCACTTGTGTGCACGCAGCAGATGATTTCAGCTCCAGCCCGATCTCATGAACGATTTTTCGGAGGTACTGCTGAGTCTCATGCAAGCAATGGATTTCTAGAAGAACAGAGAAATTCCTTCAGAAGCAGCAAAGCACCGACACAAATTCAGACCCTGTCTGTAAATCCAGGCGTCACTTGCAGTTGTGCTGACAGAACCGGTTTGGTAGAAGAGGCTATTTAAGATACAGCACAGGTGGACTATGATTTTCTGGAATCCTGGAAGGTGTTGTAGCCCCTCTCAAAGTGAATGTTTTAGAAAACAAACTCATAGGTATAGGAGAGTAATGCAGAAATTCAGGTATGTCAAAGTGGGTGAGAAAAGGAACCTTTTTAATAAGACAATTTGTGAGGAGACTGGCTGCAGGAAAGCAAACCATGCTTAAAAAAAAAACAACAAAACACTGAACTGCATTACACTGAAACACTGGGATACGGAATTTTCTTGCTTCAGTCTAAGATCTGGAACTGGCAGGGAAACACCTGTGAGCTAGGTGCACAGCTGGCCTGATTTATAAAGCAGCTTTGGCATTGTGAGGGTTCCAGATCGTGCCCTACCCAAAAGTCTTTCAACTGCACTAAAGAGTTCATCTACGAAGGAGATACTTTTGTGACTCCAGAAACTACAAAACATTAAATTTTCTGTAGAGATTACCAGTTACATGTTGATACAAACTTCACACGAACTCAATGTTTTGCATTAAATCACAAAAACCTGAAGTTTACCGACTTATTTGCCATAATACATACTCAGACTTCCCCCATACGTTTTGTACCAGTCCTACCCAGCTGGAATTCTGGAAGTGTGAACTGGAGGCACCGGATGGCTGTGATTATCGGAGGGCTCTTTCCCATGGGGCGAATCAACCCTTTGACAGCCAGCTCGTACGCCTCTTGTGTTTTCATGTCAATGTTAGAATGCCTGGAAAAAGAAAAGAGGGAGCAGACACTCAGTATTTCTCTTCCATGGGATTCAAACTATCTCCACCCCCAGTAAAGCAGAGCTGCAATTTTTATTCCTAGAACTGCCTATGTGCTGAGTCTTGGCATACAGTTTAATGTGCGCTTTCATATTTTTGTAGGCCCTGATGTAGCTAATAGGTCCTAAAATAGCTGGAGATGTCAGGATACAGAAAGGAAACTTAAGTGCAACCTCTCACCGGAGTGCAGAGCACTCAGAGTAACTTCTCTCTGTTCCTGCCTAGCACTCCACCCTTTAAAGAGTTCGATTATGGCAAACAAAACCGTCCCATTTGGTTTAAAGACCAGCAAACGGCAGTTGGATCAGGTCAGCTGCGTTTCCCCGCTGGACACGTACAGCAGCAGCGCCTTGTGATTTGTTCCTTGAATGACAGCGAGAATCCGCTCCAGCTTCTCCCTTGTGATATGATCTGCAAATATTAAGGTAGAAACAAAGCCTCAATTCTCCATCCAGAAACTGGAAAGAGACAGCAGTCTGAGATGTGCCATCGGGGTATTACTGTCCCTTTGGCAGGCAGTCACATCGAGACGGACTGATGAGAACCGCCGAGAGGTGGCTTTATTGGCGTCACTTCTCTCTGTAATGAACAGAGCAGCACGGCGCTGGACTACAAAGGGAAGAATCATTTTGCTTAATTGATTTCAGGATGTTGACTCCAAGTTCTTTTATCGGGTGTTTGAAGAGTTGCAGTCAATGAAAGCTGCTAACCGCTATTTCCAGGTACGATTCATGGAGAGATCTGGTCCCACCCAAGCCAGCAGCAGCCGCTGCGATCAGGACTCATACTGATTTTCTATATATTGCGGTTGTGTTTCAAACAGGTGGACTGCAATGTCAGGATTGCACATGGGCTTGCACGTGAAAGTAATGACCAGAAGGCCTGCAAGGCGTACCCTTTATCACTGTGCACCTCCCTGGTTAAACTCTTCACCGTTAGCATGCTGTTTGCTCGGTGTTCTGGTTTGGGGTTTTTTTTTAAGACACATCAATTCAGTTTCTTACCAAATGTTGTCTTCTCTACCAGCTTCCCCGTGTCTGAGAAGTCATCGGTGGCTTTACCAAACAGCCCACCAACAGTGTAAACCTTGAAGAAGGGCAAAGAGTGCAATTTATCAAAATACTCCAAGCAACTGAGCAGCAATATTCTGCTGTGCAGCTGCTAGGCAGCGCAGGCTCTGGCGATGTCGCACAAAAACACTACAGCGGCCTCTGCTCGCACGGCCATGCATGGATGCTCACATGAAGGATGAATTCTGGGCCCGGAACAGCTCTTGGAAGCATTGGTGGGTTCCAGACCCAAAAGCAGAATCACTGCCACGAGGCCAGGCTGGGCACCGGGGCAGGAATCAGGCGTGAGGTTGTGCCCAGATGGTCCCAGGGCGTTCAGGGCTGTCACCTACCTTGGTCAGGTGGCAGTTGTACAGATCCGTGAGCAGCTTGTTCCCGTGGCCGATGCCAAGCACTGAAACACAGGAGATGGGGAACCTCTTATTCAGCCACACGGAATGTTCCTGACACACGTTGACACAGCGCTGCACGCTCTCGATGCTTTTCTTCCCCCGAACTGGGGGAACTAATGCAGTTAGACCCCAAATTACCACCTGTCATTACAACTCTGATAAGCCCGTAACAAAGCACAGTTCTGGGAGCATCCCTGGGTACCGGGCTGAGCGTTCACCGCTTCTT